TTCCAAAACCTGTTTCTTTTTTTTAATGCAAAAACTCAACTTCTCATGCAGCATTATCTTTTTTATTTTCTCAACCGTAAGTTCCAAGCCATATTTTTGCATTTTCTTTGGATTATGGATAATAGATCAAAATTAATGATAACTCCTGCTTACAAATTATTCTCATCCTCTTTACCTTAATTCTTCTCAAACTTTAGTACTTTACTACTGCCATTGTCTTCACTATGTTCGAACATTCTTTGTCCTGAACGTCTCCCCCAACCATTATCGAACGATTCTTCTTCGAGCATTTTTATTACGAAGACTAACACAAAACCAATAATCAATTAACCAAACCATCTTGGAGAGAACATGAATTGAATCATTCGGAACCAAGAACATATTTTTTACATTGAATATGATACCGATGAGACATCTGGCAAGTCCTTAATCTAACTGTGAGCAAAGGATATTTGAGGAAGAATTGAAAATCGGTGAAGTTGAGAAAAGAAAAGAACATGCAATTAGACCACATGAGAGAGACTTAGAKTTTAACCTTAAGAGAGTGYATTTCTTAGTGAAATTYTCTCTATAATTTTTTATCTAGAGAGTATATGTTTAGATTTTGACCAGGACATAATTCGTAAATATTAGACGCCGTAAATTAAAGAATGAAAAATAAGGTTTTATAAGCATAATAAGAMATCGATTTGTATCCATTATCTCGTCGTTGTTTTCTTTTACTAAGTTTTGCCTCCTGATACTTGTATCCATCTTCCATTTGTCTTTCCCCTTAAAATCATCTTACTCATAAAAGAAATCAATAATGATTACTCATGTGTAAAGGGTCAAAAACTAAAGTCTTTAAATAAAAGCGTTTGAAAGTAACGCTTGAACGGTCCACCTCAAAATTCATCCTCTCAAATAGTTCTTCTAACTGCAAGATGAGAAAACGAAGATGTGATTAAGAAACATAACAACGTAGAGAATGTTAAAATGTTTATTAAGAAAGAAAAACGAAATGAGATTAGTGCTACAAAATCCCTTCGAAGAAGAAACTGCAAACCCCAATCTCATCAATCCCAAACCAGAAGGCTCGTAAATCCTCCAGAGAAAACGAACCTTAGTTTTATTGACAAAGATGAAAGAAAGGATAAACCTATTGCGGATGATTCTTTTCCAGAAATAAATTGTTTATGAATGGATAGACAAATTAAACTATAGAGAGAAAGAAAAGAGTAAATTAAATCTAGAGATAGCAAATCAAAAAACATAGAGAAACACAACATATCCGAACATAGATTGGGCCATAAGTCTTCAAATTAAACATGAATGGAACACGAGAATGTGAGAGCATGGGAAAGACAGCTTGATGAACTGATCCTATTAGTTTAACCAGAAACACCACTTAAAAGTTCTCAATGAGGTAAAAGAAATGCGAGTACGATATTACATACCGTTTCGTTTTCATCAATTTAGTACAATGGAACAYCGAGGAATTTGAAGTTAGTAGGCACAACAAACTGTTAATTTATCRGCAGTTTCAAAAAGAAAAACTTTGTGTATTCGTGAACAAAATATGAGGATAGAGCAAAGCTTTAAGTATAAGCGRGAATCRACAAAAGTRTRGACTTTAACTACCATGGAAGTGGAACCAACTAACCTTTGGGTGCATTGGATTGGAAGGCAAAAAAAAGATACATCGTCTAAAAATTGGGTCTCCARCACATCTGAATGCATTCTCCAAACTATAAGATTTTTGTAATTAGAGAGACCATTCTAAAGCCAGTAACAATCACAACAAACAATTAAGACTTTCATTCTTACCTCTAYTCCTGAACAATGAGATWTTCATRAATCGYAAGCTCTAAGAACTAAGAAAGAAAAATTACGCATAGAGAAGTAATGAAACAGTAAAGTAAACCTGATTTTCCAGGCCTTAAACGACCACATATTTTATGACATCGAAATCGATCAAATAAAAAACATTACCTCAAAAGAGATGATGAGATCTGTAAATTTGTTGTGAGAAGACGAATGAATAAATCACGGTGAACCTGCTGCAAGAAGACGAAAGAAAAAATATGTTAGGATCGATGAAAAATTAATAAACGAAAAAGAGATAATTGTGACTAAATCCTAAAGCTCACATATATATACACGAAATTGTATAATTGGCATCTAGGGTTTCATATGAAATATGGGTTATAATAAAAAAAAAATTAGTCCAAACCCATTAAAATGTTTATCAAACAATTACATATATACAATAAAATAATGATGAATCTATATGGGCCTAACGAAAATCCAAACCAAATAATTAGGACCCAATCAGTTAATATAACCAACGATTAAGAGTATTTTAATACGAAAAAATGTGATGGCATGGATTATATCGATTCATTAAGGGTAATATAGGCAAATCAAGTCTTAAACTCACTTTGGAGCCGTCACGTAGGATTTTTCACTTCTCATTTATAAGTATAGATCGCTTCTTAGAGAAGAAGTCTACCTCGAAAACAAACTGAACCAATGCCACTTGTAAATTTTTTGAATCTTGACGGGATGACCACTTTTAAACTTGATTTCGAGTTGGATCGGTAGGACCAAATTTTGGGTTGGATCGGCATGTACTACAAATTTGTTAACATTGTTCAACTTCCAGTTAAAAGAAAATGGAAAAGTGAATCAAGTAGTTACGATGGTGATTGTAACCACCATATTCAGCTTCTCCAGTTCAAAAGAAGTTGAATATAAATGAATCAAGTAATGGTATTGCAATCACCAGAATATCCATAAAATATCAGTTTGGATGATAAACAAGTAAATAACCCTTTCCGATAAAAATGTTGTCTTAGTTAGTCCTACCAGACTTCACATAAAATTGGAATTTAGAGTGAATACAAAATAGTAACGTGTGGGGAGGATGATGTGCGTTATTTCTATATAAATTAGAGAGGAATTTACTGAGTCTCCAACAAACCCATTTCTTCGATGTATCGACATTGAGTTAGTTTCAGAAATCTGTCACAAAAGAGGAACACTTGTCTGTATAGATGGGTACCGTTGCAACACCTTTGAATCAAAAGGCACTTGCTCTTGTTGCTGATCTCGTTATCCAGTCTGCTACTAAGTACATTGGAGGCCACAACGATGTGCGTAAATCAGAATCTGAAACCTTATTAGTGCTTGGAAAAAAAGGTTATCAAAATATGATTATGTGTTCTGCGTGTCTTTTTTTCCACGGTAAAAATGCATAGTCTTTTCATTTTGTGTAGGTTCGGTTTTTTGAAAAGATTTTGGTTTTCGATTTAGCTAGGATCGGTCCTATTCATAATGCGTTCTAACCTTTGTATAATTGTGTTTTTGCCAAAAGCAGAACGCTTCATATTTACTCATCCGAAGCATGAAGACGATTCATCTTCGTCTTAACTCTTAAACAACAGAATTCACCTGCTATGAAGATGGCCATAGTGTTAGAAGCACATCCCAAGGTGTTTATATTTTTTCACCAAGAGCCTTTCTTTCTGTTTACACACTATTTATACACACCATTACACACATCCCAAGTATAAGAAGTTTTTTATTCTTGGGCACAAGCATTAGCCAATAGTAATCTAGATTCGTGACTATAACTGTATTAAATACTTAATTGTGTAAGTTTTATTTTCAAAGTGTCTAGAGTGATATAATAAAAATATAAGTGGATTTAATTCTTTGGATCCGGTGATATACGTTAAATAAAAAAGAATCTCATTGTATGTATGTAAGACGAATCGTATATATTGGAATATAATGCATATTGTATTTTTTTTTTTTTCTATATATATCATATAGTCTGAATGCCCGTTCAATCCCGTTGAAGGTTTTAATCTTAAGGTTGTGGACGATCTGGTTAAGAGCCTTTTAGAGAAAAGTATAATGATTAGTTTAAATAATAATAATTTCGTGGACTTTATGACCTTGGTGTATAAATATGCATTATCACAGGTTGGTGAATTTAAATTACTAAAATCTAAAGAATCAATTTACTTCCAGAATTCTGAATCTAAAGAATCACTTTGCTTCCACGATTCTAAATAATGCATATATTTATACAATCATTATACTTGATACTTTGTTGTCCTTAGTAATTAATTAAGATTCGTTCAAAGGGAATGAAAAAAAGTGATTTGAGTATCTTCGTTCTCCAATGTCCGGTGTTTTTGCCAGCATCGTTAGAGGGAGAAGATTATAAACTAATAGTTTCTACGCTCGACATAAAATTTAGAGGGTGTTCTGGAGTATTTGGTCAGAAAACGATGCGATATTATTCGTTGTTTGGATTTATGAGTTATTGTGTTCTTTTGATTGGGTTTAGGTGTTTTGAAAAAAATTTTAGTTGAGATTTTTTCCCTCGTAGAATATCAATGTTTAGTTTCTAGTTAATTTTGTCTATCTATTTGATTTAAGTTTTGCAGTTCAAACTTGTTCATTGAAGATAATTCGGAACAAAATTGACAAATACAATAAAAAAAAGAAATTTATCTAAATTCAGAAAATTGTTATCATGTTTTTTAGAAGCCTAGCTGTTATTGTGGATTCAGAAATACCTAATTGTTTACTTTCAATTCAAAACAAAATTATTTTAGTATCACTAATGTGTCGTCAACAATTATTATTCGAAACAAAATTATTTTAATATTACTAATGTGTCATCAATAATTATTATCTTTACTTATTTTCCATTGTAGAAAAAATCATTAGTTTATTTTTGTAATTGATATGTTGAATTTATTCTTCTATCATGTAAACTATTTCAAAACAACTTTAAAGAGACCTTTCTCAGTGGTCATATTTAATCGGAGCCATCCACGTCCACTTCATCAGATTCCTCGCTTTCTCTCTCTCTCTAAAGATTCCTCATTTTCTCTCTCTAGAAATACATACTTGCAAAGCCACCGTTCTTATCCACCTCCACCAAGAACCATCGCGATCTCCGTCGTCTCCATAGCTCTCTGAGATCCGACGAGCTTTTCTACATGAAATTCGGCAAAGAGTTTCGTACCCATCTCGAAGATACTTTACCTGAGTGGAGAGACAAGTTCCTTTGCTATAAACCCTTGAAAAAGCTTCTCAAATATTACCCTTATTCCTCCGCCGATCTATCCACCGGAGATTTTCCCGATCAGATCGACTTGCGTACCGTATTTGCCGACACTACTAACATATCCTCCTCCGCTGCCGGCGAAGACGGCGTTGTGGTTCCAGGCGCCAGGCCTACGGAAGATCTCCAGGGTTCGTTTGTGAGGATACTAAACGAAGAGCTTGAGAAGTTTAACGATTTCTACGTCGATAAAGAAGAAGATTTCGTTATCAGATTACAGGTTTTTCGGAATCTCCGCTTGTATTTTAGCTTCTGGATTCTTAGGTCACGTTTGGAATTCTATAGAACCTGGTTCATGTGTTGGAGAGTACTGATTCAGAGCTTAAGAATTGGATGACATTACATTAGTTTTCTTCGATTGGATGGTTAATCTCGAATCTTAGAAACGAATTGTTTCTAGTTGAGTTGCCTGAAATCAAATAGGTCTAGGGATGATCTCTAATCAGAGAAGCTCCATGGCATTAGGCCATTTCTTCCTCTTTATTGGATCTAGTTTGCCTGTGTGCTTCAAGTAGATTCCCCTGGTTCTTCATGTAAAAGCCAGGACTTTTCGAGACCTATATCCGTGAAGTAATCAATATCACTGGTGACGACTTCTTTTGGTTGAATCGTCCAATGATATCTTACTCCTAGTCTTAAATAGAGTCGGGGAAAAAACTTTATTCTCTGTAGCTTATCACAATTGCTTTAGAAGTTGATCATGCTCTGCTTGTTTGAAGCCATTAGCTTTTCACGCATGCAGTTCATGTTCATCTAAAGCTCTAATTGAATTGTGTATGTTCCATCAATGTCTTATGACTCTTATCTGTTTTGCAAACAGGAGCTGAAGGAAAGAATCGAGCGAGTCAAGGAGAAGAACGGTAGTAATGGGGAATTTGCATCAGAAAGCGAGTTCAGTGAAGAAATGATGGATATCCGCAGAGACCTTGTTACCATTCATGGCGAGATGGTGCTCCTTAAAAACTACAGCTCCCTAAATTTTGCAGGTACGATACTAAACAAAAGCAAAAAGAAGTAGCGAAATCTATTACACAGTATGCTAAAACATCTTTGGATTCTAGGACTTGTCAAAATCTTGAAGAAGTATGATAAAAGAACAGGAGGTCTTCTACGTTTGCCTTTCACTCAGGTTGTTCTCCATCAGCCCTTCTTTACAACAGAGCCACTTACAAGGTTAGTCCGTGAATGTGAGGCGAATCTTGAGCTTCTCTTCCCATCAGAAGCAGAAGTTGTAGAGTCTTCTAACACAGTGTCAACCTCACATCAAAACCACTCGCCAAGAATCTCAGCAGAGACTTCCTCAACCCTCGGCGATGAAAATCTTGATATATATAGGAGTACACTCGCTGCAATGAAAGCCATACGAGGGTTACAAAAGGCCAGCTCGACGTATAATCCTTTATCATTCTCATCGCTTCTTAAGAACGAGGATGATGAGACAGTAACAGCGGAAAACTCTCCAAACTCTGCGGATTTGCAGAGCAAAGATGAAGCAGAGAAGGAAGACACAGGACCTTCCCACTGATAGAAGAGAAAGATCCTCCTTTCGATCAAGATTTTGAGAATTTACTCCTTTTCACCCTAACTTGACACATTTTACGTATTTTTAACCTTTCCGAATCTCAGTTTTGTTCTTCACATTTTGCAGAACTCAGCTTCTTTATGCATTTGAATTGTAGAACAGTAGTTTATAGATCTTCAATGAAAATTTTCTCCATTCTCTCAACCTTGTCTCATTTGGCAAATTCGTTTGAAAAACAGTCCTAAGAACCAATATTGTCCAGCCGTTTGATCTGTTTCACCAGTAATCGGAACAAGAACAAGAGCCTTCCTTGAACTGATGGAATCTATTTCTATCTCTGATTATAATTTCTCGTTCATAGACCTTTGAAACAATCTTCATAGCCGAATGACAATCCTGACATATCCTCAGATTCTTGAAGACATGAAGAGGTGTCCTTGGTTTTGTTTCCAGAAGCCCGAAACAGACGGCCAGTTTCTCACTGTGACAGCACAAAGCTTGCTCTTTATCCTCCAAGTCACAGGGAGACACCAGGCCAGAGACATCAGGGACATAACCAGCTGATCTAATCCGTTCAATCACTTCATTCAACTTGAAGTAGACCTCTTTCATTCTCGGGTGTGATCTATCTCCTGAACTGAATCGATGAACTGAACCGTTCATGTGAATGGAACTCATACCAGGTATTTTCCTGATTCCTCCGTTTCTCATACTTCCTCTTAATCCATCTACAATGTCACTCCTTCCTCCTGCAGCGTACATGTTGGACATAAGTATTTGGTACTCCGTATTGCCTGGGCTCATCTGAACAAGCTCTCTTTTAATCCGTTCCGCTATCTCCAGCTTTCCATGGACACTACATGAGCCTAGAAGCGAACCAAGGACAACTTCATTCGGAGGCACTTGCATTTCCTTCATCAAGATCTCTGCTTCTTCAATTCGACCAGCTCTGCCCAAAAGATCTACCATACATGCATAATGGTCAACCTTAGGTTCCAAACCATAGAACCGGAGGTTCTGAAAACATCGCCACCCTTCTTCTACCATTCCCGAGTGGCTGCAAGCACTTAAGACGGCAGTGAAGGTTAAGTCATCCGGCTTGACCTCTCTTACCATCTCCGAGAACATGTCAACTAGCATTCTACCTTTCCCGTGCATTGCTAACCCACTAAACATGGCGTTCCAAGTTACCACATTCCTCTTATGCATCAATCTGAACACTTTCATGGAAGAATCTATGTTTCCGCATTTGGCATACATATCAACCAATGCCGTTCCCACCATGACAGGATCATAACTCTCTTTCTCCTCCACTATCATTGCCTTCTTCAATGCATACACATGAACCCATCTACCAACTACCAGATTTCCCGATTGCGCACAAGCAGATAGCATCGAGCAAAGGGTGACGAAATTCAAGTCATGCCCACATCTAAAGACCATTTCCGCCAGAAGCTCCAATGCTTCACCTGTAAACCCAGCTCCCAAATACCCAGCAACCATAACCGTCCAAGCGACAGCATTTCTCTCAGGCATTTCATCGAACACCTCTCTTCCTCTCTCTAAACCCTCCCATTTCACAACTGTGTCCAAAACCACCGTCCATGAAACAACGCTCTTCTCGTCCAACGCCTCGAATATGCGCTTGACTTCGCCCACAAACCCGCATTTCCCATACACATCCATTAGGGCATTACAAACCTTTACACTAGTCAAAAGTCCCATCTTTACAACAACCCCATGTCCTTGTACACCGAACCCTAAATCTTCTAACTTGGCACACACTCCTAACAAGCAGACTAGAGAAACATCATCAATCTCTACTCTTTTCCTCGTCATTTCCACAAATAGCTTCATCGAATCAAGCAGGAATCCGTACCGGGAAAACGATGATAACAAAGTGGTCCAATCAACATTGTCTTTTTCTGATAGAGGGATTTCGTCGAACAGCTTCTGGGCAGTAGCCATATCACCGGAGGCAGCATAAAACTGAAAGAGCGAGTTGCTCAGGTAGGACCTCGGGGACTTATTCAATCCCGAAGTGGTTAAAACGGCGTGCAGTTCCTTTCCGGGACGGAGAAACGAGCTGCGCGCGCATTGTCGGAGAAGGAGACGAGATTTTTGAAAGGATAACCATTTCATAAGATTATGATCAAAAGCTCTCCTCTTTCTTTTTTTTTGTCAGAGTCCTGTCTTCGAGTTAAACTTTTTCAGTTGAATGAATATAAAAGACTGGGATTTGGGAAAGAGGCGACGCATTTGTGCCGCATTAGAGCAAACGCTGTTGAGCTTTCGACTATGGCTGTGTTGGGTTTAATATAAAATAATCTTGCCGACAAAAACAAACAAAAAAAGTGTAATTTTTTCCAAAATATCCATTTAATAAAGGGCATACAAAATCATTTTTATTGTTTTTTAACTAAAAGATAAATAAATTATATTAAAAATGAAAAGTTTCTTTTTTATTAGTTCAATAAAAACAAATTTTTACATTAATTTAAATTTAATTTTAAACTATATAGCGGTACAATATTATCTAAAAGAACCTACAAATTTCTTTTACAAAATCTCATTAAATAATAAATCCACGCATTCAATTTGTAGTTTTTTAAAAAATTTAATGGTTCTTGTATAAAAACCCCACTAGCCCACTTCTACAATCATAAATTGCGATACTTATTCACTCCAGAGAGAGAGAGAGAAATGGCGAGATTCGCGGTGTTAATTGCGTCGGTGGTACTGGCTTTTGTAGTGGCGGTTCCGGTGCCGGAAGTGACGGCGAAGAAGTACTTAGTCGGCGACAAGAAGTTCTGGAATCCCAACGTCAACTATGCCATTTGGGCTCAGGGCAAACATTTCTACGTCGGTGACTGGCTCTGTATGTTCTCTCTCTACACTCCTGGATCTGTTTCTATTCATTAGATCTGATTTGAAATGGGTTTCGCTTTAAATCTGCTTATAGTTTCAAAGTTGTCTGCTTTCTACGCCTTGAATACATTGTGATTGTGTCTATCTATTACAACATACTAATTTGATTCACATTTTTGTTTGGGTTTATTTAGTTTCCTGATTAGTCCAGATCTGGTTATAGATTTTCGATATAGTTCAAATCCAAATCATGGGCCTTAATTATGTTTTGATGGTTTTTCTACTTTGTTTTAGATTTCGTGTTCTACAGAGACCAACACAACATTCTTGAAGTAAACAAGGCAGACTATGAAAAGTGTAACGGCGATCATCCTATCAAAAACTATACACGTGGAGCTGGTAGAGACATTGTTCCTCTCTGGGAGACCAGACAGTACTATCTACTTGACGGTAGGGGTGGCTGTTTTAGCGGCATGAAGCTTACTGTTAAAGTCGAGACC